CTGTCCTAGCCATCATAGAGATGTTGGGATGGCCTGGGGGTTGGGAAACCCTGTCTTAAAATATCAAAGTTCTTAAAAGTATACATTAACATAGACATATATACATGATTATGTGTGTGTGTGTGTTGTGCATTTATGCTCTCATTTGTTGATTTTTCTCTCTAACTGTCAACAGTTGAGGTACACTGATAGAGCAAACCACTAACCTATTAAACATGTATCTTAACATTTTTATGAACATTCCCATTAGTTTTGCCAACCCAACATCCCTATGATGGCTAGTTTAGGGAGCTAGCTGATTGTTGTGCAGTATATTGCTGTTCAAACTTCATTTTGTTAAGCATATGTACACTTTCAGGGTTGCATTTTTACACTTCTGTTAATTATTTGAACAACCTATACATTCAGTATTTCAAACCTTGAGAGAGAGGGTGATGCTGGGGGACTGACAATGGGCACTCCTTCCTGTGTCCTCTTTCTTTGGCCATGGAAACTGCTACCAAGACCCACAGTGCAGGGATCTTCTATGTACACATAGTCCACATCCCCTGATGTGTAAGAGATAGGGTCCAGCCCCTCAGCCACATCAGCCCACATCTTTTCTCCTTCTCTGTTGACTCGGTCTCCATTCCTGTGTGCCTTTTCTCCTCCTTCCTCCTTTATTCTCACCAGCTGTTCACTAGCTGAGCTGGGCCCTTTCTCCTGCCTCTGCCTTGTCTCTGCCCCGGACCTGCCATCCTGCATCTGCATCCACCTAAGAATTGAGTGTGGCAACTCCCAGTATGCCTTCCAGCGGGGCAGGGGAGCAGATGGCCCATGACGGATGCAAATGGCAAGCACCTCACATGGTGTCATCTGCACATTTGAAGAGCGCTTGCTCTGTTCCTTCCTTCAGCTCATTTATAAATACACTAAGCAACAATGGGCCCAGGAACTATTCCTCTGGTAGCCCATTTGTCATATCTCTCCAGGATGACAGGGAAGCACTGGTGAGTACTATCTGGCCATGGTCTATCAACCACCTACAAATCCACCTAAGAGTTGTATTGCCAAGCCTACATTTTCACCAGCATGACTACAAGAATATAATATGAGACCTAGTTGAATATCTTGTTCAGTTCCATATTTATTACATCCACAGCATTCCCCTGATCTACCAGGTTTATTATTACAGAGGTGCCTTGAGTTGTAAGTTTAATTCATTCCGGGATGATGGTTGTAACTCAAAGCACCATTTCCAATAGGAATACACTGAAAAACAATTAATCCGTTCTAACCGTTTTTAATGGTTGAAAAAAGGGCAGGAAAGGAGGGAGGGAGGGAACAATGGGGGAAAGAGGAAAGAAAGAAGGTAATCACTGGAGTACACAGACCCCTCAGGTCAAGGTTTCTGCTTTTAAGCACAAAGAGAGAGAGAGAGAGAGAGAGAGAGAGAGAGAAGACAATGGGGGGAGTGTTTGGCGTCTGAAACAAAACAAAACCCCATTCCAGCAGGAACCAAAAATGCTACGCTGCAAGACCCATCAAAAGCACAGAAACATACCCCCCCCCCCGAATCAAACAAACCCATTCCAGCACTACCAGGCAGTCCAAAGCCTCCCTCAGAACTCGCACGCTCTAACCGCTGGGGCGAAGGAGCTACAAAGAAGCAGCCTCTTTGCCGACCAATGGTTACCAGTTTAAATTCCCTGCCTTATTCCCCTGCCTTTTTTCTGATTGTATCTCAAAGCTCCAGTTGCAAGTGAAACCAAAATTTTGCGACCAGAGCTGGTCGTAACTTGATTTGGTTGCAAGTCAGGATGGTCGTAAGTCGAGGCAATGCAAAAGCTGTTAATCCGTTCACTAGAGGGAGACTTTTTTAAACCTAAAATGACCTCTAAGGTTAAAATAGGGCAGGAAAGGAGGGAGAGGAAGGAGGGAGAGAGGGAGGGAACAATGGGGAAAGGAGGCCTTTTTTCCGGTTGTATCTCAAAGCTCTGGTTGCAAGTCAAAGCAAAATGTCGCGAACAGAGCTGGTTGTAACTCAAATTGGTTGCAAGTCAAGATGGTTGTAAGTCAAGGCACCACTGTATATTAAACACAGAGAAAGAAAGAAAAATATTGGTGTGGCATAACTGGTTTCTGGCAAACCCATGCTGACTTTTAGTAATCACTGTGATCTGTGTGAATTTCACCCAAATTTCCCTAAGCTTATTGAAATCAGTCTTCTTAAAGCACAGAATGTGCAAGGTCCTACTCTCAGCTTTCCCTTTCCTCAATATAAGGAATCTCAAGAGGGTTTCCCCCCAACCTTCCCACTATTTCCACATTGTCGACCAGTTCATAAGGACCAGATCCAGAATAGAGGATCACCTTCTTGCTTCTGTTATCTGTCTGGATTTTTTTTTGTTTGCTTGTTTGTTGTGTTTATACACTGCATTTCCTCCAGTGATCTAAAGGCACATACATGGCTCTCCTTCATGGCGTTCCCTCCGCCAGTTTATTCTCACAGCAACTCTAGGAGGGAGGGAGGTATGTTGGGCTGAGGGATGTGATTGGCTGAACATCACCCAGTGAGTTTTATGACTGAGTGGGGATTTGAACCCAGGTCTTCTGAGTCATAGCTCAGTCTCTGATCATTATACCACATTAGCTTTTCATTGTGGCCTCTATGGTTAAATTCAATACAATGGTGCCCCGCATAGCGAGGTTAATCCGTTCCGGATTAACCTTCGCTGTGCGAAAACATCGCTGTACGGGGCAGGAAAAGCCTATTGGAACGCATTAAACTTAGTTTAATGCGTTCCAAT